CTGTTCGCAGTAGAAATAATAGCGCGAACGAGGAGGGAAGAAAATTAATGAGAAAAAGAAACGGGGACAGGGAAAGAAAAGAGATGTTCCGGAAGTGTGGTGAATAAAAGAGGAGAAATAAGTTGATGTAGAGAAATTGTGGTCGCGGATGCGAAAGAGCAAACGTGAATGCGAGAATTCGTACGATAAAAAGAGAGAGAGAGAGAGAGAGCGTGAGAGAGAGAGAGAGAGAGAGAGAGAGAGCGTGAGCGAAAGAGTAGTAGGGGGCGGGATTGGGGGAGACGTTGTAACGAAGCTATGCGAGAATCGTTATGTTTTTCTACAATTAATACAATACAGTAACGTTTGTACGGAGCTCTTACAACAATATTTGTACAATATGATGAAAAAAAAATGTATTAAGCTGCGCGCTCGTGTGTCCGCCCGTAAGAGAGAGGAGGGCGACAGTAGTCGAGCGCGCAAACCAGCCAGATGCAATAAATTTTGTAACAAAAATAAATATATAAATAATTAATAATGATAATAATAATAATATTAATAATAATAATAATAATAATAATAATAATAATAATAATAATAATAATAATAATAATAATGATTAATGATAATGATAACGATAACGATAACGATAACGAAGAAAGAGGGCGACGTGAATCAACGGGCGTCTATTTAAACGAACGCAGTGACAGTTAAGGAGAGAGTACACGACGTTATAATTGTATGTAACCTAAAACGGGAATATTTTTTCATAATGTGCGCGCGAAGCTAACCGGATGAATCCATAAATTACCGACCCATTCTAACCACACAAACACACACGCACACACGCACGCACGCACGCACGCACGCACGCACGCACGCACACACACAAACAAACACACACGTGGTAAATATGAGAGGCTTAATACAGGTAACGACGATACACAACAATACAATACATACAATAAGTAAGTAAAAGTTTATTACCGGCCACCCCCTCTCCGATAATTCGCGCGCGAGCATTCGCTCCATGTCGCCATTTTCCTTTTTCGATCGAGGAGCATTCTTTTACCGCGACGGCCCGAAAAGCATTTCGAAAATCCAACGAACAAATCGTCTCCTTAAGTATTTTCCAATAATAGAAAGCCTTATTTTTCAACAGTGCTACACACCTTACTACAATCGCCATTATTACGAATTCTAATATCCTGAGCCTTAACATGCAAGTGCCGGGACGTTTAAGTATTAACTCTCTGTCTCCCCCCTCCCCCGGTCACGGGGTGAATAGTGGGATGAAAATGGTGGATCGACAAAGTCGAATGCTCGCACGCGATCAACCGAATTTCGTTTATATTGTGCCAACTGCAGCCTCCATTTTAGTAGGATCTCCTTCGGCTTTAGTTTTTACATATTGTGATCAATCGACTCTCCATGCAATATTTCATGATTAACGAAAGGAAAGCAAATCGTGCGCGCGGTCGACATGCAGTTATTATCTCATAAGGACTCGAGGACGAGCACGAGAGATGCAATCTGCGACGGTGAGATAAGTTCGACTGCACGTCGTACCTCTCGGGCTTTCTCCCATTACGGCGATTAAAGGCATTCGAATTCGAATATTCCATTGGCAGCCGACGACGACACGGAAAGTGCTAATCCATTTAATGACGTAATCGCACGATTGTCCCGCAATGCCATAACACCGCTAATACATTAACTTTCCTCGGCTAAGTCTTGCGAAAGTTCTGCATCTCTCCTCCTCGTCCTATCATCGCCGCATTTCTGTTATATCTCGCGATTCGGTTTGCGAATGGATGAGTGCGTATGCGTGCGCGTGAGGAAAAAATTTCTAAACGATGAAGAGACAAGAAGTTAACACCGTCGAATGAAACAACGTGTCTCATTGGTCTCATTGATATTGGTTATCCAACAGCTGTAGATAGCGCTCGATAATAGCTAAAAGTAAATGAGCGGGTGGATTGAGGCAAAGAGAATTGGATATGATTGGCTGGAGCGTTATCGACTCGTTTCGGCGCGTAGGCGACTTTTTAATTGTACATTTTTTAGCAACGAGGACTTACACGAGGAAAGTCTTACAGGTGGGTGGGTGGAGGAACGGAAGTAAAAACAAAGCACAATGGCGCGAATGAGGCGCCGTTTATTAGGGGCTATTTGGAGGAAAAGCAAGGATATCGTTAATTGCGAGAAGAAAGTTGTCGGAAGCGCCTGGCGAGAGATTCGTCGCCGACAATTAATGTCGCGCACAAGCTAAAGCCAAAGATAATATTATGGGGCTGACGAAGCGAGCGCGACTGCACCACACTCGCGGCGTCGAGACTGTTTGATCGCGGTGCTGGGACCCTGGGAGGGTTATCGGGGTGGGGATATTGGTGACGGAGAGGGGCGACGGAGAGGGGAATCAATAGACGAGTCTGGCGCGTCCGACGATACGCAATTAACTTCTTATTTTTTTAAAAGGAAAATAAATAAATGAAACGAGTCGGGACGGCATTGTGTGCGCGCCGTCCTGTGTGCCGCGTGCGATAATGGATTTACGAGCGTTTCTCTGAGCATGCGTATTGAAAACAATGACATTTGCACCGATCCCCGCGACACTTTTAATGGGCACTGTTACCTCATTTGTCATTGTACGAAGAGACGAAGAATAAGAAGAGAAAACAAATAAATGAATAAATAAATAAATAAAAGAGACGAGTTTCTTTCGGTTCTTAGATGAACAAATGCATATCATAGTTGTAAATTAACAATTTGTGAAATAAAAGAATCTGCAAACTGTTTGTGTTAACGTTACGTCTTTAAGTTGTATAATTTGAACATAATACCCATCATCATCCCCCCCCCCTCTCTCTCTCTCTCTCTCTCTCTCTCTCTCTCTCTCTCTCTCTCTCTCTATCTCTCTCTCTCTCTATATATCTCTCTCTCTCTCTCTCTATCTATCTATCTATCTATCTATCTATCTATCTATCTATCTATCTATCTATCTATCTATCTATCTATCTATCTATCTATCTATCTATCTATCTATCTATCTATCTATCTATCTATCTATCTATCTATCTATCTATCTATCTATCTATCTATCTATCTATCTATCTATCTATCTATCTATCTATCTATCTATCTATCTATCTATCTATCTATCTATCTATCTATCTCTCTCCAACAAACTCATATTTCACGTCATTCTGGCGCTAAATTTAATAAAAACACGAGCGCTCTACGTAATGCATGAACGTTTCTTCTCATTATTCTCGTAATTTTATGTATATTCGTACTTATAATGTCATATTATACACCTATACATTCAATAATTGGTTTTTGCTCGTTATCGCTTATATTTATCGAATTATACATTTTTAATCAGATTTTGATCATCATGTTTAATTTACCAATTTTCTTATTTTGTTGTGGCCGCCATTGATTTATTATGATATCTTGGTGAACAGTAATTTTGCTTTAAAATTATAATGGAATAATGTGATATTGGGCTTAAGACTCCTCTTATACTTATCAATGTCCATCGTTTAATGCATTCGAATGTATTATTTAATAAATGTTACAATTATACACGTGCAATATTGATCGATAATACTTTAATGTAATTGAAATGTTTATATTTAGTGAGGTGTTCATTTTTTTTTTTTTTTTTTTTTTTTTTTTTTTTTTTTTTCTTCTCTTTTTTCTTTTTAATATTACCGTTCGCATTACATAATTGCCAAGTTTTTGTTTTTAACTTTGACGAGAAGAAGATGAAGAAAAATAAAGTAAAGTAGCTATATATAATTACATAATAATACCACATCTACTCAAGAAATTACAAGTGTTATGTGATATTGACTATTATCACTTCATAAAGAATATTTTGTAATAAATGTTTGTTTGTTTGTTTTTTTTTGTTTTTTTTTCTCTATCAATGTGCTTAATCAGTAATATCAATAAGCATTTGACATTGCTAATGAGATCATTGAGAATTGAGAAAACAAAAATCATTGAGAAAACCTTCACACGGTACGTATATAAATATAATATGCATGTAATTATATGACTTTACCCCCAAATATATAGCATGTCCAGTTATACATTAGTATCATAAAAGATCCAGATGCAATAAAGGCTAATTGAACAGAGCACTAATAATTTTGCCTCTTTAACGAAATATCAATTGTAAATTTAATTACGAAAGCGGTTAAGAAAATAATATATTAATATTACTATTATCAAAACTGTTTATTTATGCACGTCCAATGTATATTTCGTTATTTCAGCTATCGGCATAAAATTTATCCACACGGCTCTCGGTTAAAGTACTTTCGGCTCAGTTCTGACATTCGATTGTAATCAATTTTTTCTCTCGTACGTATAATAAACTGAAATTCACATAGATTCCTGTAACAAATACAACAATAATCATCTCAAATGGCATAACGCTATTTTGCGTTACGTAATCCGCTACGCATAGCTCGTGTAAAATAACGTGTCAAATTATAGATATTGAAAATCGTGATTCAACAGTTTTTCCGAAACATTTACGCCTCCGTTAAATAATCCTTGCGAGATTGATAATTGCTGGCGAGCGGCACGCGAGACAGCAGCCGGTCGATTACATAACAATACGTAATAAATTCGAAGGAATGTATTGGGCCACTTAGTAGAGGATGTACTTGCTCGGCTCGTAAGGTAACAAAAAAAAAAAAAAAAAAAAAAATCCGGGCTAGCCGTGCGATAAAAAAAAAATGCCCTCGTTCGCACGGTTTCGAGCACCGAGCGCGGCTTCTCATCCCCCAGCACTAACAAATGCGAGCTTGCAATTCTCCGCTCCAACCCCCGCCTCCGCCGCCGCCGCCCCCACCACCACCACCACCACGACCACCCCACCCCCCCCCCCCCCGCCCCCTATTCCCCGGGCCCCCCCCCCCCCATCGATAACAAGCAACCGCGGGCCGCCCATCGGGAAAGCCGAACTCCGCCACACTAGCTGCCAACTCGGCGGGATAGCCGAGCAGCGTCCCGAAGGGCGGCCCCGAGGCCCCACTCGGTCGACTGATTACGACCGTGAGACCCTCGAGCCACTCTTGACTTTTGACCCCTCTGGGCTCTGATCGTAGGTGTCGCTGGCCTTGGGCCTGGAGCCCGCGGGCTGGGCCGGCCTCGGTCCCAGCGAGAGCGCGGCCCTCCTGACGAGCGCGGGCTTCGCCGCGGGTCTCGCGGGCCTCGCGCGCCGCTGCGGCGTCTGTCTCGCGAGCTTTCCCTCGAGCTGGCTCCTCGAGCGCCACGCCATCCTCCAGCACGCGGGTCAGCCGAGCGACGACAAGCCCTTCACCTGCGAGCAGTGCGGCCAACGATACCGCTACCGCTCGGCCTACGTCAAGCACCGGGAGCAGAACCACCGGGCCCGACTCCCCGCCGACAAACTCTTCACCTGCGACGTCTGTGGCATGCAGTTCAGGTAGTTCAGACGGAGTTTCCCGTTCCCGTCCTGCGCGACTACGCCCCAAGTCCAGCAGCGGCCACTCACCCGAGGCGCGAGCGAACGAACGACCGTTGGCACTCATACTCTCTCTCTCTCTATCTCTCTCTCTCTCTATCTCTCTCTATCTCTCTCTATCTATCTATCTCTCTCTCTCTCTCTCTATATATATATATATATATATATATATATATATATATATATATAGATCTCACTTTCTCTCTCTCTCTCAGCCGATAACGCGCTTGTAGTGGACAATCCCGTGGGATTATAAATAAGTAAGGCCGTGCGGCCTCGTTTAGCCAATTTATTATGATCGATGATGAGATTGGAGAGCGAGGAGCGTCATCGGGAAGTCGCGCGCACCCGCCCGCCCCCAGTGAGCCATAAGTCGTTTAGCAGCCCCTAATCGTCGAAACCTTGTGACTTGTGCGTCTCAGGTATCTCAAGTCCTTCAAGAAGCACCGGCTGAATCACGCGCTCGAACGACTACAGCGCGCGCCCTCCGGCGACTCTCAGATCCTGACGGAGCGCAGCGACCAGGTCTCGAGCACCGGCGAGCCCACCCAGCTGGACGGGAGCAGCGTCGGCGAGGCGAGCCCCCTGCGACTCGACCAGGAGGAGCGCGGCCGTGACTCGCCACCGAGCTCCGAGGGAGCGCGCGACGAGGCCGGGAGCTCGGAGCAGCGGGGCCTCGGTCACGGCCAGGAGGAGGCCGCGATGGATGAGGAGCGTCTCGAGGCCGGTGAGGCCGCCGCGGCGACGAGCACAGCCGCGAGCCTTAACCTGAGCCTGGGCCGTGGCCAAGCGGCGCACCATCACCACCACCACAACCACCATCACCACGAAGCCGAGCGCCGGGAGAGGCGCTTCGCCTGTCCGTTCTGTGGCAAGTGCGTACGCTCCAAGGAGAACCTCAAGCTCCACGTGCGCAAGCACACCGGCGAGCGTCCCTTCGTCTGCCTCTTTTGCGGTCGCGCCTTCGGCGGCAAGAGCGACCTCACGAGGCACCTGCGCATCCACACCGGCGAGCGACCCTACCACTGCGAGATGTGCGGTAAGTGCTTCGCCCGCGCCGACTACCTCTCCAAGCACCTCACCACCCACATACACCAGCGCTGAGAGGCGGACGAGCGGCGGGCCGGGAGGGCCGCGAGGGCCGGGGCCCTCGAGCTGCGCCCCTAAGTCGACGTTGCTCGCCGTTCGTCCATGGGGCACCGAGCGCATCCACCCCGACTCGTCAGCCTCGTCTCTCCGGGGACGGACACTTCATTATTCGGACGACTAATACTCCGACTTTATGCTCCTCGTCAATAAAGTCGCACGCCGCGGATGCTTGGTCGATTGGCCGAGTCGCCGCTCGATCCTTACGACCCCATGCCCTTCGTTACGTCATTATGCCGCTCGACTGCTCTTTCAATCACTGGTCGCATAAATAATATCGTCGATGGCCTGCTGACTCGACACGATAAATCAGTTCCTCAAAAGTCACCACGAGTCCAGCGATCCACGATCGAGCGAACGAGGCGAGCCGCCAAATGGATAATTATAGAGAGATAACGACGATGCGTTGTATTTAAGGACTCGTAGCCAGAGGCGTTAGCGATGCTTCTCCATAATGCTAGTGAGAATATTATATAACACATGTGATAAGGATTAATCGAAACCAAAGAGCGCGACGAGAGATTATAATGTGATTTAATAATGAACTTAAGCTCTTCCTCGATTCTGTCGTCCCTTATGCCCAATAGAGCTAGTCGTGAAACATTAGATAAGGCTAAATCCTCGCCGAAAGCGAGACCAACGATCGCTTCAGCGATACTCGGCTAAGGCTTTTCTTCCCGATTCGGTCGTCCTCGGTCCACCGACCCAAGCGCTTTATCAAGGCAACGCAAATAAATATCGCCGATCGAGCGATGATGAGATCCGTAGAGGCGCAATAACGAATAAATCGATCGCTTACCGCCAAGTGGAGCTTGCATCGCAGACGCAATCCGCTAAATAACATAAAAGTGATAGCTAACGTGCCAATATTTCTTAGAAGAGCCGGCAACTTGAGAATCTTTAATAAACGTCGAGTTGTCTTGTAGAGCTTCCAAAATTCCTACCTACCCAACCTTTCCTTGGTGCCCCTACGTAAGGACGTATGCCCCGAGTAGTGAAACGAAGCGCGGGCGGCGAGCTTTCGTGATAATCGAGAGAAGGAAAGCCTCGGCTGCTGGTTAACCGAGTCCGGCTGCGAGCCCATTTTATCTCATTCCTATGACTCGCGTAAGGAAGCCTTTATCCCGTTACGCGCGACTTCCCCGTCGGTCCGTCACCGATACGACGTGCACGCGCACTCGCGCTCGCCGATGCTACTGCGAAGATCTCGGCTGCGTGCCGCGATAACGTTCCTCGTTATTTTCGCGTTATATACGCGATCGATGACGATAATCGTTCGTCGTAGTGATCATCGCAAGCGGCGGCGCAACTTGTACCGAAGCAATTCTAAGCACTGATATGTCTTGATTTTTAAATAATCCACCGGTTCACGACCCCACATATAAGTATGAATATGATATGAATTTTGTTTTTTGTTTGTTTATGTTTTTTGTTTTTTTCTTAATGCTCGCTTGAGACTTTTGATTAATGAAAATTCGTTAACGTCGAATGATTGAGGTGGATTGAAGTTACGAGTACACGTGGCATTATATACATGGAGCTTTTTAATAAGAACGAATCGATGCAAATAAGAACGGAAACTTGCAGAATTTCTTAACAAACGGTAATCAATATCATCGGCTGCTGTTGATGTAAAGGTCAACACTTGATGTATACACTACCTATTTTATAATTTTATTAAATCTAATTGATTAGATAAGGCGACACATAAGGCGCTCTGTGATGACAATATATAAGCAGTTTCATTTGTTTTTTTTTGTTTTTTTTTTTTGTTTTTTTTTTACTCAATTGTAAATTTAACTAATTTTTGTATTAATGGATGCTTAAGTTGTTCTTTTTCATCGTAGACTCGACTTTCCACAAAGTATTGTAATTAATATTGGAATAAACATTGGTCTGTGAAGATAATTTTGTAAATTGAATAGTCTTGGTGGCAGTAAGAAATCTCTTTGTTTATCGGGTATTAACGCAATTTAAATTACCTCGCGACACATCGCGACGTCTTACATATATTTTATATTTATACAATATATTTTACAAATTATATTTACATTTTTCTATACTTGCATATTGTATTAAAATTGAATCAGATGCGGAATGTGCCAAAAGGTGCCAAATTCAAGTATTATAAACGTCGCAATAATTTGTTTACTAACGGATAATGTTAAATAATTGGTTATAGATACGATGTCGTAAAACGGAATGTTTTTGAATAAAAAAACTTTTTCTTAAACATAGTTTTGTCGTAATAAAGACATTGTATATTTTCTCGGGCATTGACTAACTCTTTAAATTACTTTATCGTTACAACAACGCAATCGTCTGAATTCAGCTCAAGACGCTTTTTTTTTAAATACCAACAATATCTGTTTATTAAATAGTACTCGTAACCGGACGATCTTTTGCATTAGATTTTCTCATGAAAGTAGTTCGTAATTACCCACGAGATTATCAATTCGTATTCTGTACAATTACAAATTGTCTACATTAATATCATGATTCTTAATTATTAGCGATTCAATCTACAATTATAACATCCATTTTTCCTGTCACTATCGTTTTAATAATAATTATTTTCCACTTTCGCTGTCCTCGATGTGGGAAATAATTTTAAAAGAGAAAATCATCATTGATTAAATAATATAATGTTGAGGCCACCGTCGGTCGATGATAGAAGAAAAGACAGGAAGACTTATCGGCTTATCGGACGGAAATTCCATAGGAAACGGACGCAAACGAAGGTAAAAATCATGAATTATCAGCGATCGGTGCTGAGCGCGAGAACGGCCGGTCGGCGTATGGGACCTTAATGAATTATTCAAACTGTGCGATCGGTGCAATGAATGAATGACCTTACCGTGAAAACGAGCAAAAAAAAATAGTTTTCGGCTAAAGTTGCGCCGCAGGTACCCGAAATCACCACAAAATCCAAAAAATCCTCGTAGCACGCAGCAAACCGATGCGCCGTGTCCTGACGAGATCGCGCCGTAATACCAGCAATAAACGAACCTCGTCTTCGCGTATTCTCCGCTTTCTTTTAAGAAAATAAGATAAATTTGAGAATCTCCCCCTCCCCCGTCCCACGGTCCACCCAAAGCCAATATTCTCAATATTCCTACCAGCCATTGTAGTATACTAGTATACATGTAGAGTCGCGTAAAGCGGCGCGACTAATAGGGCGCGAGGGAAATGAAAGAAAGTATAGGAGAGAATGTGGGAGGTCCTCCGGAACGAAAAACCCTAATACGTAGCACGGTCTATGCGGTCCTTCGCTCATTAGTGAGATCACTTTTATCGTCGCTGTGTCCATTGTGTATAGAGACTTAAAGATTTAAGGGTGCACGTGATAGATTAAAGGATAATCGGGGAAGGCGAGACGCGCGACCTACGCCTAATATAAGAGTGAATGACGAATGAAGCTCCTCTCGTCCTTCTTGGGAACTTTTTATTATCGCGACACCCATGGCCTTCATTATACGCGCCGGTACAATTACACTTTCCCTCACTTTCGCGTAAGTACGTATTGCAGTCGCTGACTTAACGCCGTCGGCTTTGTTTCTTTAATTGCGCTTTTGGGAAAATGATGCTAGCGATGGGTCGGTTTAACGGCAATCGACTTCGTTATTCTCGATTCAATAATCACGCGTCAACCTTTGACAAATGACATTCGGCAATTGTCAATTTATAATATTACGCCGCGCGAGACAGTGCAACGAATTAAGAATTCCTCGAATTCGCATAACTACGATCGGACGGATGATGTTCTTGTTGATTGTAATAATTTATCGTAGCTTAATGATTAACCGATGACATTTTTATTAAAATGATACAAAAAAAGAGAAGGATAAATCTAATAGAGGAGAGTGAAAATTTTGTTTTTATTATTATGGTAATAAAAACAAACGTTTCTCTAAGCCCTGGAAGGAAGGAGCAAAGGAGCATTGTTGAATTAATAGATTTGTGCGCACAGCGAAGCACTATTTATATTATTATTATTATTACGGTAAGAGCGAATATCCAAAATAACTGAAATGATTTAACTTTTATGTTGGCTGAAATCGAACGCTGTAGGTGCAGAACCTACTTAAGAATAGAAAAAACAAGTCGACGAAACAGGTGATTCGTTACTTTTCTAGCCCTCGTGCAGATATTCTCCGAGTTATTCTGCGTGTGCGCGTGTGCATGCCAATTCTTGATATTTTTTAGACATCGAGTAGCGAAGAACATAAGAAAATTGATGTTAATTAATTAAATAGCTGTAGAAGTAAAAAAAAAAAAAAAAAAAAAAAAAAAAAAAAAAAAATCGATATAAATAGTCATTTACCGAGTGTAGTAATTAAGGCACATTATTTAAAAATTGCCATTATATTCATAAAGGCTCGAAATCAAAGTTAAATATATTCTTTAAATGATTTTCAAAAGTGATTTTAATGAGATAATGTCATAGGGCAAAAGTCAAGAAACACTTGTAGACTCCAAAGAATTTTTTAAAACAAAAATTTTGAATACGATGCACTAACGATACTAAAATACTAAAAATTAGCCGATATGCGTCCAAAATATCCCTCCAAATTTGAAATCCAAGCCAACGCAACATCCTATCTTTTATTATCACTTGATAATGCTCTTAATAACCATAGAAAGTATCATGCTCTTATCGGATCCATAAGACATTAAACAGATGAAATTATGAAGCGATAAAATTATGAAAACGATAGTTTTTAACATTAAATGAAATTACGTGATTATTTCGTATTCGACATGCTAAATACAAAGATTATTGTTTCTACTAAATCACTGCAATTTTAATTTTTATTTTTACTATTATTTACCAGTATATTTACTATTCACTATTATTCTCAATATTAATAGTTTCAATAGCATTAATGTCTTGGCTATGAAAATTCAGGAATTATTATTAAGTATAACGTTCTAAATATCATAATCGATAATTATTAATTAAAATCATTTCGTAA